TTGACGCTTTTGCTCATGTAATTATATATCTCCCACTCAAAAATGAAAATTATTGATTCTAAGTCCAAATACAATACATACCGATTCTGATTTTCATACCCGCTAATTTTTCAACCCAAGTATACGGAACCATAACAAAAATAATCCACACAGAAGGTGATATTAACATTGATGACACATTCAAATATCAGTAGCAAATTAACATTACAGGAAAAATAAGGTGAAATTTCAGAAGCATAAGTGCCGTAAAAGAAATAATCATGTGACATGAATACTTGCCTAGGCGTAAAAGAAATAAGAGAATGCAAATAAAAATGTTATTTTTACAACAACATCTTATGTCAATGTTTGACAATTTTATCTTTCAGAAAAGAAGCGACGCTAAAAACTGTTATTTTTTATTGCTTCTCTCTTTAATTTAGAGTTGACTGCCCAATTTTACGTGTGAACGACTCTTAAGACTCAAATCATTTGTGAAGAATGAAAAGCTGCTGGTTTCAAAGGTTGCGGCACTTAGTGCTTCCAAGTTCCAACGAGAAACCCATCGAATTTAAATCATATATATCCGGCGTACTATATGATTTCTTTTTATTTTACATGTATTATTTATTTCTTCATCAATTGTCATTAATATTACTAACACTTAATTATATTTTATTATAAAAATAGTTATTAATATTAAGAACATAGCTAAAAAACTAATCAATAATTTTTGTTCAACTTCTAAATAATTAGAAACAAATCTTTTCTCTGAATAAACAAATAATAGGGACTGAGGTATATATAATATTAAATTAGAATACTGATCCAGTGACCCAGTCCTAGTCTTCATCTTCAATTTATTAATGCCAAACTTTCGCCACGTTTTTTTACTCTCTTCTAGAGGAATGCCAAGTATACTATAAAAGTCAACTCATACAGACACCTTGCTAATGGGTAGAACTGTATCTTGCTTGTTTCAATTTCCTGATTAGGTTTTGTGTGTTTCCCTATAAGCAAGCCCAACTCTTTGTGCTACACAAAAAAAGTATTATACGAACAAGGTACGGGTCTCTTATTTGATTCAAAACAATATATTGTATGGTGTGGGAGTATTACAATTACAAATCATCCATTATTGGTTACTTAATAAAATAGTGGAATATATATAAAACTCATTAGATATTATTAGTTTTTTTTAGGGTTAATAATTATTAAACATGAACCGTGAATAATATAATAACGATATCCATACATTTATTTTTCCTGATAAAAAAGTTCCATTTTAAAGTAAAACTTGCATAAGCATGTGACTACATAGGCCCAACTAAACACAACCCTTTGATAACTTTTCCAGACAAAAAGTAGTAGACAAAGATTGGAGGAGTCTCTTATTTCTTTTCAAGGTTCAAGCAACATATCATATATGAATATTACAATTACAAATAATCAATCATAAGTCACTGAATAATACAATTAGAATTAGAGTAAATTTTATATAGACACATCTGTATATAAGTTCTATAGAAGTCACGCTTTTACATCTAGCAATGTCACTTAAACTTGTTAATGCCTAGATTATACAACGACATTGGCTCCTACCCTCCAATATTAGAATGTGAGGAGTTGGTATAGAATTAGTCATCAGCAAGAAGCTGTTGCAAGAAACATATATTTTCATCAGTCCACATGTCTACACCACCAAAATCATTGCAAGGTTCAACTTCTTGAACTTCTGAGTACTCCCTCTTCTGCGATGTGCATAGGGTGGATGTGGATCCCTTTTCAAAACTATCTGATAATGATGACCAGCTACTACCACCACCACCCATCAAATTGATAGGCACTCTATCTGAAGAAGTAGGCACTGACAACATGCTTGGCATGGTTACACAAGGTTCAGTGTGAGCTTTAGTGTTGTTGCAAAGAGTAGTTATTTGCCCTTGTCTGCCAAAATTAGAGGCTTGAATCTGCTCCATGAGACGAGGCATCCATACAAAACGCATGGTGTCCCTGAACTTCTTGCTGTTTACATCACACTTCAGTTGCTTTGCATGCTTTACTACTCTCGTCCTCCAATAGTTCTTTATCTCATTGTCGGTTCTCCCGGGTAGTTGTTCTGCTATTTTAGACCACCTTCAATAAATAAATAACAACCTATTAATTACTCCATTATACCTACCATTGTAAAACATAGTAGATATTTATCATTAATATATATATATATATACCGATTGCCCCAGCGGGAATGAAGGTCAAGAATCAAGAGCTGTTCATGGAGGGTGATGTTCCCACGTCGAACATTTGGACGTAAGTAGTTTAACCATCTTAATCTGCAGCTTTTGCCAGTTCGCTTTAGACCTGAAGTAGAAATTAAATATTAGCTACAATGTTTAATTTAAACATATATAAGCCAAGGTTCAAGGTATATGGTGTTAAATAGTTTAATCTATATTCATGAATGCTTGCCTGCAATGCCAGCGATGGAGTTCCAGTGACCTTCACCGTGAACGTTGACGTAGTTTATTAGAACAGAATCTTCTTCCGCTGTCCATGGACCTTTCTTCATTACCACAACTTCTTCGTTTGTATATGCTGCTGATGAACCACAATCTGATAAAGTCCTCATCATGTGAACACTCTTTGTGTAGTCTGTGTCCATATTAACTATGTCCGCAACTTAATTGTCTTGCGTTTTCTGTGTTTGCTTTGTAGCAAGAGAGAATAGCTTATTCCGTTAAGCATGTGGTAGAGAATGTGATTTATATAGAGATATCAGTTGAAGCCTTGAAGGTGCATTGGATGTAGGAGGATATGCACTTTAAGGGTTGAGTATTAGTCAAAACTAAAGATAAAGTAGGGGCTGCCAAAATCAGTTGCAACTTGCATACTAAAATAATCATAAGACATTACATAAGTTTTTCAAAGGTTTCAGTGTTTTTATTTTGACCTTGCTTTGTTAATGCTGACCTTTTGACTTCTCACACGCATATCTGTTTATTAATTTTTCTTGTCAAACATTCCATTTGCTGAGACATTTGGTCAGCATTTGGACTATAAAATCAAAGAAGTTCTCAACTCAATCTGTGGGTATTTTTAAGAAGGAAATACTTCTTTTTTACTTTTATTTTTAAGGATAAAAGTATAACTTCATTACAAATAATACAAGTATAGTAACTATTTTTATTTTTATAGAATTTTCCACTCACATCCTTACTAGCTTTTTCTAATGCTGACCAGCTTTTCCTAAAGGATTGATTCAAGAGGATCCACAACTACAAATTCTGTAGTTATTTGATTGAGTTTTAAATTATATTACCTTCCATTGCAGCTGAATGTAATTATTTCCAATATTGATTTACTTGTTTTATACTGGTATGGCTCAACCAATACCCTCTCTATATCGGTTAACAAGGACACTTTTTCCTAGGCTAAAATGTCTTCTCACCATTGATGGTACTCCTAGTTTTACATTATAAACACAATATTTGTAGAACTTGTTCTCTGGCTTTACCAAAGTTGATATTTCCAAATGTGATGTGATTTCTCTTGTCCATCCCCATGATGGAGTTTGAATTTGACAGCTCCGGTTGTTTTGGATGTAGTGAGAGAATAAAGATCATTTTTGAGAAATAAATATTTTTTCCGTCATGTTTTCAATGTCAAAAATATAACTTCGTACTAAATAGAATGATAAAAGTATGATTACATGTTTTTTTGTTTGTTATTGTATGATATTTGTCTCTCCATTATCCTTACACGTAATGAGGAGGGTTGTCATGGTGGGTATGCAATCTTACTAAGCACTGGGTCTTGCTGGTTTGCAACCATTCTTCTTTCAAAAATATTGGAGAATAGTGGGAAATGATAACACGGATGATGATGGACGATGCCTTCAAATATGATTTCTGTGATTTTTGCATTGTGGAGATTTTTATTGTTATCATTCCAAAAGTTAATCAACCTACTTCTTTAAATAAACTAAGGCCAATTAGTTGGTGAAACATCGTGTACAAAGTGATCACTAAGGTTTAGGTGAATAGATCGTGACTTTTCTTGGATTATTAGTGTTTTGCAAAGTGATTTTATTCAATATATAGGCAATACAAATAATGTCATTTTAACTCAATGAGGTTATGCACGACTTACACAAGACTCCGACGAAAAAGAAAATCATGGCTTCTAAGATGACTTCGGAGAAAGCATATGATAGAGTTAATTAAGAGTTCCTGCCACATACTCTAGTTGACTTTGGGTTCTCAAGTTTAGTGTTTAGTGCCACTGGTGGTATGTCAAGTCCGGTGGTGTGTCATTACTCTACAATGGTTCTCAATTAGAAGGATTTCAACCAACTACGGGTCTATGATAAGTGATTAGTGCCACTATTACCATGAGGCTAATTTAATATCTTTTAACTCTAAATGTTTATTTTATATAATTACATTTGAGATTTTGATAAAATGTACTAATCCCACTATTTTAGTTTTTTTTCAGGCTAAAAGAGGGCTAAATGGGCCAAAATTATTAATTCTTAATGACTTTTGTCAACCATCTGGATTGAAGGTTAGCATGAATAAGTCTAGGTTTATGTGCTCCAAAAAAATGTGACTAACAAAAGGAAAACTATATGGTAGTTGTTAGTAGCTACAAGAATTACTTTAGCATCCCACTTAGAGAAAACTGACCTAAGTCTGATCTTCTAAATAAAGTTGATAGAATGTAGTCAATTGTCTAGAAAATCCCATTCACACGATTAAGTATCAACCTTGTAAAATGGGATGGTTCTCATTAGGCATAATCATAACAAAGGGGCTTGGATTCAAGAATCTCGTGCAATTCCATAGGGTAAAATTGTTCCTACAACATTGACTATTATAACAAGGTTACATATGACTCTAGATCGGAGTTTGTTTTCAACATAATTATCCAAAGTGTGGACAAGAACGTTGATGAGAGTTATTTTAATTGATCAAAATTCCATTGATCATGGCAGCATTATGCTCAACCAAGAAGGTGTCTTTCGACGTTCCCACTTAATTTTAGGACAAGATCACCCATCTTAATAGAATTGTTAAATATGAAACATACATAGGAATTTGGGATAGATATGGTAGAAATTATTACACAAGGTATATACAACAAATCTCAACCATTATTGAAGAAATAAATTATGGGCTAGGATGGACAGTTTGTTTTAAATTTATTGCTAGGGTGTCAATTTATGGATGACTACAATGCCTATAATTTAGCACCTCTGGGAGCTCTTAGGATCATGTAATTGGATCTCTTTTACACCAGTATGACATTCACGGTAACAAACTTCATTGAAGTTCATATGAGCTCCTTGGATGGGAACAAGTTCATTATTTACTTTGGCTACTCTATATAAGCTCAAAAAGTATATGAGGACATAAAAATAACTAAGTTTGGAGACCTCAGATAATTTGTAAATATATCCAAATGCAGATAATCATCCAATGTAGACAAACTATTAAACTCATCACCAACCTCACCCAGAGAAAACAATTTAATATAAAAAAGCCATGTTATAATTTTAAGAAATCACATTACAAAAAACACAATATGGTTAATAAAAACGAATATGGGGAAAGAGTGATAACAATCAGTGGTGGCAATAAGTTTTAAGGTTCGATTCTGCCAGCGGACTTCCTCAAAGATTTCAGAAGAGGGAGCTTTTTATCCTCATCGTGAAAACTCTTTACCCAAACACATACAGTTAACTGAAAAAATAAAAAGAGAAAAGAAAAAGAAAATTTTCAAGAAAGAGATCACTCAGTTCAGCGGGGTAGTCGACACGCAAAGTAATCTCTAATAAGAGAGAGAACCCTGCATTCCGGTCTGTTGAGCTTGAATATTATGTGGTCATCACTGTGATCTCTTTTTCATTCCAATATACAAATAGTTTTAATAAAGAAACTGAAATTGAAATCAAATAAGAAATGAAATCAAATAAGACATGAAAACAAATTGAAAATAAAGAACCAGGAAAGTTTGAGACGAAATGCTTAACACAAGAGCGGCGTTGTGAAACATAGCACAAGGTATTAATTTATAGGAAAAATTAATTAGGGTTTCTGAGGGAGAGTAAGACTCGGTACAACAGAATAGCGCCGTCACATTGCAATTGTGAACGGACTAAACTAACCTTCCGAAATTTCTCAATAGCTCAGTGATGTTTGTTACCATTAGTTTCTACATATTTTAAATTTTTAATATTATAGGTGATTTCTCATATTCAGAAAAATATTTAAATAAAAAGTTTTCCCCCTCAAATCGATTAATTATTTCACTTTATTAATATCTTTATTTTTTATCTCTTAATTTTATTTATGTTTACATTACTAGTCCGAATACTAGTTTTTACTTACCATTATTAAAATAATATTTTTATATGACATCGATTCGTGCATATGACTTGATAAAGAAAATATTTTTCAATTAGTTAGGAGAAATAATATAGTAGTGTTAGGTAAAAGTTATATTTAAGTATATGTTTGCAAAAAATTATATTTAAGAAAATAATTTTCAGTTAGTTACAAGAGATAATACAAGGATGTTGGCAACCAACCTAGGTTATAAAATCCATGTATTTTGCTAGGAAAAAAAGCTAAAAATTGAAGTATGTTTGATATAGATTATGATTTTAGTTTTTTTATAAATTGTGAGTTTATAGTCATGTTAGGGTTATAAATCAATAGTGCAAGGGATGTAATAATGCTTATGTGAGTGTTGTTGTATGTCACTTCTCACGAGCGTTATTATATATTTGACATGTATAACAAAGTAGACTATATGGAACATTGGCGTATAATTCATATATAACCGTGCTAGTTAAAATGAGTGTTATTAAATGAATCACATACAACATCATACGTTATAAGAAATGTTGTTGTATTAATCGTATACAATATGGTCCATTAAAATGAATATTATTGCATGCAACTTATACGACAACATTGTAACATATATTGCATACAACGATCATTTTAAGGAGCGGTGTTATATATAATATATAAGTAACATGAGCCATGTTGTATATGATTTATTTAGCAGCTCCTCAAATCCTATGTTGTTGATGTGTACACTAATGCGTGCATATTTATTTATTTATTATGTTAATTATCTTAAGTGTAAAATGAAAATATAAAAAATAAATAAATTTTAAAATAAATAACTAATAGTGGTAACTTCAATATTTTTTTCTACAAAAATAAACTGAGAATATAATACAAGTAGGTTGAAAAACATACTTATGCTTTAGCTTGTTTTTTAAAAATAAGAAAACATTACAAACTTGCCTTAATACCAAACAATGAATGTGGATTGTGTAATTTATGTTTGGTTTGTTTTTTTTATTATTGAAATGTGAATTTTTATTTTAACCTTAATTTCGTTATGTTCGTTATCATTTATTCTTTTATCAAACTTCATATTAAAATTATGTGTCAAGTTGCTTTTTAATAATGATATTGATTTTTACATTGTATTTTATTTTAGTTTTTTTTAACATTTGTCATGAAATTATAATTATAATTATAAAAACATAATTTTAACAAACACAAGTTAAAATTATAATTATAAAAACCTAAAGTCTGCTAACTATAACATTTTGTTGAAGGCGAGAGTATGTAGAAGTAGTTGAAGGTTGAAGCAAGGCCAAGCCGTCTAAAGGTAAAACCTTCCCGTTACATAAAACTAGCGGCGCTTGCTAAGCAAGAACCAGACGTTGAAATCGTCACTCTCCGTCATAACCATTCAAAACTTTCCAATGTTGCTAAAGCGTTTCTCACTCCAATCTCAATTCCGATGCGTCTCTTCTACACTTCCTTCTCTCTCTCGCTTCTTCAACACAAACACACACCCCAATCCAGAAAACGACGTCGTTCAAACAGTTTTCAACATCATCACCAATTCAACCTCGTTAGAAGACATGCAACAATCCCTGAAATCAAGCCGTGTTTTTCTCTCCAATGAATTAATCGACCAAGTTCTCAAAAGGGTCCGATTCAGCCACGGTAACCCTTTACAAACCCTATATTTTTACCATTACACTGGTAGAAGAAAAGGGTTTTTTCACACTGCCTTTTCCTTCGATACCATGCTTTACATTTTAGGTAGAAGCCGCATGTTTAGCCATGCTTGGGATCTTATAATCGAAGCGCGAAAGAAAGACCAATCTGTCATAACCCAACGCACGCTTATGGTTTTCTTGGCTAGAACCGCGAAGGTTTGTTCTGTTAGACAAACTGTTGAATCGTTTAGGAAATTCAAGAAGATGGTTCCTGAATTTGATACCACTTGTTTCAATGCGTTGTTGAGAACTTTGTGTCAAGAGAAGAGTATGAGTGATGCAAGAAACGTTTATCATAGTTTGAAGCATAGTTTTCGACCGAATTTGCAAACTTTTAATATTCTTCTCTCTGGGTGGAAGACCCCTGAGGACGCAGAAGGGTTCTTCAATGAGATGAGGGAAATGGGGGTGAAGCCTGATGTTGTTACATACAATAGTTTGGTGGATGTGTATTGCAAGGGTAGGGAAATTGAGAAGGCTTATAAGGTGCTTGATGAAATGCGCGAAAGAGATTTGTCGCCCGATGTGATTACTTATACTAGTATCATTGGTGGGTTGGGGTTGATTGGTCAGCCGGATAAGGCTAGAGATATGTTAAAGGAAATGAAGGAGTTTGGGTGTTACCCTGATGTTCCAGCGTACAATGCTGTCATCAGAAACTTCTGCATTGCGAAGAGGCTAGGTGATGCTTATGGTTTGATGGATGAGATGACAAGTAAAGGTTTAAGTCCAAATGCAACTACTTACAATTTATTCTTTAGGGTATTTTTCTGGTCTAATGATTTACAGAGCTCTTGGAACTTGTATAAGAGGATGATAGTTGCAGGATGTCTTCCAAATACGCAATCATGTATGTTCTTAATAAGGTTGTTTAAGAGGCATGAAAAGGTGGAGATGGCAATGCAGTTATGGGGTGACATGGTGGAGAAGGGTTTTGGGTCTTATACCTTGGTCTCTGATGTACTGTTTGACTTGCTTTGTGATACAGGAAAGTTAGCAGAATCAGAAAAGTGTTTCTTGGAGATGGTTGAGAAGGGGCAGAAGCCAAGTAATGTTTCTTTTAAGAGAATCAAGGTTCTCATGGAACTAGCAAATAGACATGAAGCCCTTCAGAACTTGACCCAGAAAATGGCCATGTTTGAGCGACCACTCCAAGTTCATGAAAGTACAAGGAGCCGCGCGAGATGTCAGGTTTAGTTTGACTTCTTTTTAAACCCCTTTAGTTCTACTTCCAAGTTCCAACTGAATATGGCAAAAAAGGGTAGAGGGCAAAGTAAGAGGTCTCAATGCTGTGGAAAGAGGTGTGAACAGTTATTTAGTTGGTTCAATATGTCAAGATTTATGCATTCTATATACATAATGAGATCTTGCTGGCTCTCCTTGGACTGTAATAAGCATTGCTGATTACATGAGTCATCTTCTGCCCTTCATTGTATCATTTTTGTTCTTCACTGTGTCACATGTAATTGGTTTGGAAAAAATGAGAGCTGGGTTTTATGAAATGAATCTCACTAGTAGTCTTGCTATTCTAAAGAAGCCTCTGCTTTGGTCTTCATTTTTTCCTTCTCTTCTCGTTTTTCTCCAACTCCTGCAATCCCCTTCGCCTTTTGGTCGCAGGCGGTTCGGAAGCTCCGCAACAACCAGTAGAACATCTCCATATTCGGTTCATCTCCCGCAGCTCCACAACAACGTGTAAAACATCTCAATCTCCGACAAGCTGTAGCGTGTAATTGCCAGATTATCATCTAATATATGAAGCATTTCATTTTTTTTAATGCTAAAATTACAATGTAATTGAAAACATAACAAAGGGCGCAAATGATAATGGACATGCATTTTCATATCTGATTTTACCAGCTTAAAATGTTTATTTTAAGTATGAGATTTTTTTTTAATACAAAACCCTAGACGTGTATTGCATGTTTTAGATGTTATTTAAAATTAAAATTTTGTAATAGGAAAAGATTTTAAGAATTTAAGCCGACAGAGAGACCCAATACCCATTCTCTATATTCAATGAAACAGGGCACCATTCTCACGTAAGATCAATAGCATTGAGGCCCAAAGAAAAACACTTCAATCAAATTGGCCGGATGAAAACTGCGCAGGATTGGAGTGTCAATAAACTCAACCAAATTCTTATAATTGATATTATGTTAATGACTTAAAATTAAATGTTTATTCTAAATAAATGGTTAAGATGTTCAAATCATTGATTCTAGACTAACCATATAATATATTTTTCCCGAGGGATAGTCTCATTCCCCTTCATATATAATGCATTTTTCTTTTAATTTTTAATAACTTTTTCGTATATATCATGGTCGCATACAATATACCTAGCTTGAAAATGTTGACGCTTCAAGTGCATGTGGGCTTTAGCACCGATTTTTAATTGGCTTTAGAACTGGCGTGCATAAAGGCCACCCTACTTGCTTGTTTCCCACTTGCTCATTCATATTCAAATTTATGTTATATATTTGAACGTTCAGATTATAATACTTACACGACACTTTGTTTATATTTGTGTATACTATATAGCATGATTTAAATATCTATTTAGAGTAGCCTAGATTCCCTTTTCAACCTTTTTCACTAACTTTGGACAGACTTTCATGCGACATGGCCCCTTATGAATAATTTAGCAGCTACGGGCCCTTCACCTATTTCTGAAGTTGAGAAAAGAAGGGACTATACCTATTTCATCACCAACCCACCAATCATAAACAATTTGGGATAATACTTCTCACGTACACTTATACACATGTGATTATAAATCTGTACATTTTTCATCATTTGATTACAATCTATCTATTTTAGTAGATATTAATATTCTAACTCTCTAACATACTTACATATGTGCCTATCAGCAATAACATTTTTTTAACAATGTTTTACTTGCCTACTAGATGTTCTTATTATCCCCATAAATTGGAATATGGTTACACATTATAATGTAATATATTTATCCACGATATTCTCCTAGTTGAATAGTTAGCTGAAGGTTATAACAAAATTGTAAGAATCAAATTTCTAAGTGCTC